AAATTCAATTACGTGTGACGTATGTTGATAAAGTATCTTCTGCTATGTTAAGCAGCTATATTCATTCTAAACTATCTTCATCTTCCACTTTTTTATTGATGTATGGAAAATAATGCTGCTATGACTGGTAATTTACTTTAAGACAAATGCTCTGTATTATTACAACAGTGCCTTGTAGCCACTTCCTACCACAGGAATTAATGAACAGATCTAATATGTTCCAGGTCAGTCTCAGCTAATTGGTCCACTTCAGTCAATACTGGCAGGAGTGGGGGATGACATCATTTTACCATGTCACCTGCAACCTGCGGTGGATGTTACTACAGAGACTTTGGAGTGGAAGAGATCTGACCTTAACCCGAGATATATCCATGTGTGGCGTTCTGGTCAGGATCTCGTAAATGTACGAAATCCATCCTACAAAGGAAGAACATCACTGTTCATCAATGAACTGAAGCACGGAAACATTTCACTGAAACTCTCCAAAGTACAACGCTCTGATCAGGGAACATATGAATGCGACCTTCCACTGCTTCAAAAACAATCTTCTGTGAGGCTTGTTGTTGGTAAGTACACACACAGTGAGTGTTCATAGTGCGGTTTGGTGTAGGCTCTGCATCCAGTAACAGTTTGAGTGAGAACACACAACTTATAAATAATACATTTAAATGTACAGTGTGTGCAGGATTTAGTGTCTTCTAGTGGTGAAGTTTCTGATTGCCACTAACTGAACACCCCTGGCCACATTGTTGCATTTCATATACGAGGCATAAAACTTGCAGGAAGTGAGATTTAATTGTTTCATGCTGATAGGTAGTCGGTGAGGAAGCTTTTATTTTTGTTTGTGACGCCTGAAGAGTGGGAGGAAAGGTGGGAGAGGCAGAGAAGATGATACACAGCAAAGGGCCATAGGTCGGAGTCAAACCCATGACCGCTGCAGCAAAGATTTAGCCTTTTCACCCCCTGGTGGTGAGGAACATTAAGGCATCTACATCACTTGGCTCAACAGAGAGGCCGAATTGTATATCATCAGCTAGCTATTGAAGTTAATATTATGTCCCCTACTGACTTAGTGCCATCATGTGAAAACAACTTGTTCAAAAGTATCTTGCTTGAATGTAGAAGGCTTGATATGGGCCTATAATTGTTTACTGTTTGTGGGGCCCTGTATAGTTTGATAATGATGTAGCAATATCTAATATCTGTGTAGGATTTGAAATATGAATTTTCTGCAAGATATTATTTTGAAAGTTATTTTCTTAATTTCAATACTTTGGGGAATAAAAGTATGTTATGGTATTATTGTTAATATCAATATTTTCCTTTTCACTGACACCACTCTGTTAAACCTTTCTCAGCATCACACACTGCCTCCTCACCTGTCATCAGTTTATTGGGGGTCGACAGAAAGAGAGGAGCAGTGATCCTAAACTGTGACTCTAACAGCTGGTATCCAGAGCCTGAGGTGGTCTGGCTGGACGGTGAGGGAAACCTCCTCTCTGCTGGACCTACAGAGACAGACAGAGGTCCTGATGACCTCTATACTGTCAGCAGCAGAGTGACTGTGGAGAAGAGACACAGCAACAACTTCACCTGTAGAGTCCAACAGAAGGACATCAACCAGACCAGAGAGACACACATCTATGTTCCAGGTTAACATTTATTTATATATATTTTTTATGAAGGGATCACTGTTATTGTTTTAAATAGCTGAGGTCAACTGTACTTTTCTATAATTACCACGTTTTTTTGTGTTTTATCTTTTCAGATGATTTTTTTGAGGTTGAGTCCAGCTCTTCTTCTGCCACAGTTGGTTTGGCTGTTAGTTTGGCTGTTTGCATCCTGATTATATTGTTACTTGTCTACTTTTTGTGTGGAAACGCAACACAAACAGTAAGTTACAATGTTAAAGTTATTTTAAAGAGAATAATGATAGGAATTGTGTAATTATGTGAATGAAATGTTCTCTTTGATCAAAGTACCAGTATTTTCAGCCTGTTATTGTCTCCAGGTAGTCAGATGCTTTGTCACACTCCCTCTGTGTCTCATACAGACTAACAAGGTACCTTTAACACAGGGCTGTGAAACTCAAATAACCTTCCGGCCACTGTTGGAGTTGTTAGTTCAACCAAATAGAAAAAAAATTCCAAATAATAATAATGTTGCAGGATATGTTTGACATCATGTCACGGGTCGGAAATGGCCCCAGAGCCGGTATTTTTAAGGCCCCTGCTTTAACATCTGTATGAGACGCACAACAGAAACCCATCCATGTCTGGTGTTATATCTTTATAACCCATTTTATACCTGATTTAATTCTGAAATGTCTCATGTGCTTTGATACTTAAGTGAAATGTAAATAAATGTCTTTTGGACTTTAATATTAAACCTTATTTTTCCACAGAGACCAAGAGAAACCACAGGGATGAAACTGATGCAGGAGCAAGAGAGATGCTCAGGTCACATGAAACAGTGCAAATGGAGGTGAACGAGGGAAAAGAGAAGAAGAATAACTCACGTGTAAGTAAAGAAACAGGACTTTGCTTTCAGGGATTAAACTAGGAAAAAGTCAGGAAAAGTAAAGTTTCATCAGAGCAGGAAGGATAGAACATATTAACATAAAAAACAGTAAATAAAATAACTATAATGAACACAAATATGACATGTTGGAAATGTGCTAGCATTAATGAAAAATATTTTCTAGGATTAGTTTTTTTTGTCTCTAATCTCAGTCTCCTTTCTCTCTTTCAGATTAAGTGGCCGTTGGTTACCAGCCAAACGTACCAGACCTTGAAGGCAGAGGTTGGTATTTGTATTTTCCACAGAAGGTTTCTTTCCTTTAAGTTCTCCTTCAGATTGATCTCTATCAAAAATATAGCATTGTGACTTTTAAATATCAAACTCTCCTTTGTTGTCATGCTCCCTGCTGAGATACTGTACATATATTTGTAACCTGACAGACCTGTTTGGCTGTCACTGTTGTCTTGTTTCCTTTTCATACACAGTACATGAATGTGGTGTTGATTCTCTTTGTATCTTCCCAACCATTCTGTTTCCAACAAACTGAAAACTGAACAAATACAGAAATGAGCATAAAGCAGTTTTATTTAAAGCAAATAAGAAATATATCCTGACAAACACATCACAGACAATGTATGATATCCTACACAGTGCTGTGACTGATGTTTGAGGTCAGTTCAACTAACTGTTATAAAAGAGAGACAAGAGAAACTCACATAGATTGATTTGGGATGAAGGAGAGCAGAGCTGTATCATCATCATCATCATCATCATCACAGATATAGAGCAGATGGAAATCCATCAACCAGGTTTTACAGCAGAAGTGATTTCATGTTCAGGAGCAGACTACTGAAACATAAAAGTCATGAAGTGTGATGATGAAACAATGCTAAGTGTGTTTATTTGAGCTGTTCCAGAGTCTGCAGGGACTCACACAGAACATTAGTGTTCAATAATCTCACATTACAAAGAAAACTAGCAGCTGAATCTATATGTATTGTGTGTCTGTATTTTAAGATTTTGAATTGAAAAAGCACTTTTCTCCATCTTTTCATCAACACATTGATTTATTTCCAGCTGGCTAATAGTTTATATATTGTGAAATCAGAGCATGGAGTAACTTCCTGTAATGTCTTATTGTTTATTTGAACTCTCATACTGTCATCTTTCATTGATATTGACTTTTGTTTACACCTGTTGTTGTTTGTCAACAGCAGGAGTTAAAACCAAAAACCAGCATGACATCTTGTGTTTCAGATCAGGACCAAAAGACAAAGAGTGAAGATATTCAACTGTTGTTTATTGGCAGAGAGAGAATAAACTGAAAACAATAAAAAAGACAAAATGTTGTAAAATAAATATTTGTGCTGAACTGAAGTAGAGAGGTTGTTTATCAGGAAGTATTAGATTAAATAAACACTAAAATAAAAGAATTACATTTAGTAGATATTGCAGTTCAGCTGATATGTTCTTTATTCTTTTCCACAAGAAAAAGTAAAATGTCCACATAAAAATGTATCTACTCATTCAGAATTCAACAATCTATTAATATGAACATTTCTAGAGTTTTCCTGTCGGACACAAGATTCTCTAAAGTTTTTATTTGACAGTAAGCACCTTTTGGTGTTGAGGGTCTTGAAGATAAAACTGGGACTTGATTTAAAGCTGTTCTGAATTCAGTTTGACCCGCTGCAGACTCCAACTTCACACTGCTGATATTAAACATTACTGTTACATTAATAACTGCATCTTCTCCATTGCACTGCAAAAGTCAGACTTGAGTCACTGAAAGTTGATTTCCAGGCAGAAGTTGGATGTTTACTTCATATGAATATGTAAAATGACAAATGTCAGGACAAGGATTAAAGTCCTCTTTTAAAGCAGATTACTTCAAAAGCAGGAGTCAAAACCAAAAGCAGCTCGACAGCTTGTGTTTCAGATCAGGACCATGAGACTAAAATACTCAACTGTATTTTATTGGCTGAAGAAAAAAAAACAAAGAATAACAAATAAAATCCATTATATTGCAAAGGAAGAATTTGTGCTGAACTTATCACAGTGTTGGTTCACTGTCACTGCTCTCATAGTGTGGTTTCAGCTGCAGCAGCTGCTTTCAGTGAGAAAGCTGTAAGAACCCACTGTACATTAGCTTTATTAGCAGCACACAGACACAGTCAGAGACTAGCTGGTGAACACAGTGGAGCATTTAGCAGCTAAACACACAGATATTTCTCTCAGGAGCTGCTGGAGACCAAAACCTTCAGGATTCTCTGCTGGTCCTCAATCACTTTTCTCCACTGACTCTCACACAGACAGAACTGTGACTTTGTTCCATCTAAAGGTCCAACTAGAAAACTCCTGTTTCTTTAACATTAATAGTTGACCTCTCTGTTATACTTGAAGTAAAATTGATTATTTGAACTCTCCTACAGTAATAAAAGAAAAGGTCTGTAATCCTCTGTCTTTCTCTCTCTCTTCAGTTTCAGAAGCTCTCAGAGGAGAAGCAGAGGACTGAGAATGAGCTGAAGACCAAGATAACACAGGTTCATCTTTTATTGATATTCATTTTTGCTTACATCCACATATTTGTTTGTTTTTACCTTAAAATCTCATATTACTGCTGTATTATATCTTTAGAATATTTCAATGTATAACAACATCAACCACACAAAGAGTCAAAGTATTTTAAGGTTGAAAGATTAAATAAAAAAAACTCTTCTTGATTCATGAATGTAAGTAGAGTAGCCTTTTTACTTTAGGATTGAATGTGTTGGATCTCACAGTATGTCTCCATGTCTCTCTGCACTCCCAGTTGGAGAATCAGCTCCTGCAGGAGAAACAGGACAGACAGAAGGACGTGGAGAACCTGAAGAATCAGCTGGAGACCAAGAAGAAAAAGGTTCATCTGATCATTACTAACTTAAATGTCTCACAGCTGCACTTTTCTTTTCCTTCCTACCTTCACTGCTGCATTCTGTGTTTATTAGAACTTATACAATGGTCTGGGGGAATACTCCATTCTGATTGGCTGCAGGGTGTCCATTAATCCCTGATATATGGACACCTACTAAGTAGTTCCAGTCAAATCGTCTGTTCACCGTTCTAAATGAATGCGCTAGCTGGCGTATCAGCCTGTCTCTAAAATGAGTAACCATAGCAACGGGAACGCAGTCAAAGCCTCTGTTTCCAATTTATTGCAACACCGCAATAACTGGTTACTGTCTTCACACAGTCAAAAACTTGCACCCACGCTTTAATCAAGGGTGTGTGTTTTTGTTCCAATCAAGCAAGAGGACACCTGAAATGACTGTGTGAGGACAGTTCAGTTGATTGAATGAACCAAGTCAGGTGTGCTGCTGCATGGTTGGAATGAAAACCTGCACCCACACCAGCCCTTTCATGGATCAGTTTGACACCCCTGCTCTACAACATACTGCCGGACCAACTTCTTCAACTTCTCCCCCACTTACTGGTTCTGCACCCAAGTCCAGCTTTTGTTGTTCGGGTGGTGGGGGACCTCCTAAGTTTGACTGTGCAGTGCTGCGACTCCAAATGTTTCTTCAAATTTGACGTAGTGTTTTTGTAGCTAGATAGCCCTTTGTCGCCACCAGCACAGAGCGTACAACGAACCTTAATATTGCCATCTTTAGCTGACACAAACTCAAAATAGTGGCTGTATTTCCAGCTACCAAACGCGCATCTCTCTCCTCCCTCCATTCTTGTTTATGTTTGTGTCTGCGTAGCCTACACGTGAACTGTCCTCATGCTGAAAACGTGACTTGTCACATAGGCTACGTGACTTTACTCCCAGAGACGCAAGAAGAAAGCAAATATATTTTTATTAAGGAAAATGACAAACATAGTAACGCACAGTGACTTGGAGCACATTAAAAGGTCATAAATCACAACCTACAGCCAATCAGAACGTAGTTTACAGACCTGACTAGATCATTCTGTGCACTAAATAAAACTAAATGTCTCTCATTTTGTTTCTCTTCATCTCTCTTTTTCCTCCCAGTTGGAGAACCCCTTGAAATGAGAAAACTAAAAGGGAGAAAGCTGAGAGAGAAGTGGAGAACCTCAAGAAGCAGCTGGAGACCAAGGTCCATGTTTTAACCTAGCACACTGTTGGTTAATGGAGCTGTTATTTCGTGTTTCTTTTATTTTCTTCACAAATGATTCATATTCAGACAAGACAATCTAAATCTGTGACACCATACCATGATCACGCCTCTCCATATAACAAAACGTCAGTATACTATTATTATATTAATAAATGGAATGGAAGTCTGAATATACGGAATGAAACTTGTCACGTGGTCAAGGCACTGCGGCAACTTTTAATCCATATATTCAAGTTTCATATTATATATCTAATAATTTCCTAAATGGCATTCCATAATAGTATATATATATATATATATATATATATATAACTATCTATAACTATTTAATTCCTCTGTAAATCTAAACATTGGTTTTGAATTTGTGCAATTCAAACTGTCATCTTTCATTAACTTTGTGTGATCAAAGATCACTGATTTACAATCAGTAAAAAAACTGATGAACCCTTTTCTTTATGAATATTGAATATAACACATTACATGTTTCTTCTCAACAGTTGTAAACATGTTCTGTTTCAAATGTGGTGAAAAAAGCAAAATGTGAATCAATTAATTGTTAATATTTAACTATTCAAATTCTAAATCTGATCAAACGTAACTCAGGAATTATTATTTTTGAATATTTATGGTGAAGTTTCTTGTCCATTGAGGTGCAACACTAATGTACATATGATACACAGCGGTTTTGTAACAGTTGTCTTTTGGATCTTCTTGACAGTGAAGATATTTTTTGTCTTTCTGTGTTTTGTATTATTTGTTATTAAATTAATGTAAATGTCAGTTTAGAATTCCCTACTGTATTTTTCTGCAATAAAGAGATACAAATCATGAATACATGTTTGATTTATGTACGTTTGTACTCAACAAAATTCAGCAACAAAAAAACAACCTTCTTCTTGGCATGGCACATACGGAATATGGTATCTTAAAATCAAGACATTTCTGCCTTTTTTTTTTATCCTACACCTCCTCATCACACCAGGCTTTTTCAAATAAAATATGTATTGTATGACAGCAGCATGATTGCAAAGCAGAACTAAAGTAAAAAACCTGATTATGTGCACAAAAAAAAGGGATCAACTTGCCTACAAAACAAAATATTCTTTGCCCCACTCTGGAGTCAATTATCTGTATGTTCCCTCATCAGAGAGCTCCACTTCGGTTTTTAAGTGAAAAGCATTGTTCTACAATCATAGGACGCATTCTCTCCAGAGCGCCACACACAGAAAGCAAAATGGTTTACAATTGTTGTTACAATTGTTACCACCGTTGAATTTCTTGCACCAATCAGTTGACTTTGACCAGTGAGTGTATGTAAAGCTTCAGCAGCTCCTATTAACTGCATCTTCTCACAAAGTGACAGCAGAAAAAGCTAAATGCACTGTAATGAAAATGTACAGTATGACTGGATGATGTTGCGGAACACTAATTGTGAAAATAGTAAAAAAAAGTTCACTGGATAATAAATGTACATGCCCTCTACTGCCTAACTTTATTTCCCATCTCTTATACAACATATGCTTTCCTTTGTTTTGCACAGAGTGCAAGTGGGTATTGCCATTTTATTTATTCATATTTATACATTTATTAAATTTATGTTCCAGACTTAACTAAAAAAAGCAACATTTTACAATATGAGACATTTTATAGATGCAGGATAATATTGTATAATCTTTTTAGTTTCACGCTATTTTCAATGGAAGTGAAACATTATATTAATGCATAATGCACTAAATGAAATGATTAAACACAAAGAAGTTCAACACAAAACTTCACAATTCAGCAGTATTTCTGATTTATCTACTAGCACAGAGTCTCTCCTCCTTTCTTCAGTCAGGTGTCTCTGCTCTTTGTGGCCTGTAAGACAGAAAACACAGAGGACCCATGGGGGATTCAAGATCAGGAGTAATTAATGAAATGAAGAGGAAGTGGCTGGAGGCCATCAGTGTTACCTTCTGGATGGTGGAATAGAGAAGTTCGTCCTCTTTTACACTTGTTGGATTCAGAGATTCAGACTGTGCTTGAGAAACAAGTAAAATGTATGGGTTATGTTAAGACACATCAACTGTGATAATCTAAATGCTACATTTTAAAGACATTATCTAAATGAATCATAATCCCCTGTTCAAGTGAAACTATCCATTTTAAGCTGCACCACTGGATAACTTAAAAAAAAATTATAAAATCTTCAGTCTTTTTCTGTTTGTTCTGTCCAACACTTTCATAATATGAGGCGTAAAGCTTAAAGTCTCAAGACTGCCATAAAGGAATGTTTTTTAACTTTTAAGCATGATGAACTGCTACATATCATATCAGCGTCTGTTTCATGAAAAAACATATTAATTTGTATGATGAATTGATGAGGAAGAATTTAACAATCTCACAGCCTGAGGGAAGAAGCTGTCTTTAAGACTGGTGGTACAGTAAAGGTAACAGATAGTAGCAGTCACACTATTGGGGTCAAAATAACAGGTCACGTTAAAATGTGGGACCAGATAAATAGAGTTCAAACATCTGTAGATCTGCTAAATGAAGATTTGGGGGGTGTCTGTTAACTCGAAGGGCATTTTTTTTATTTTTTTGAAAATATGCATTTTCATGATATACAAACCATGCAGAGGAGGAGCTTGTGGAGTCTCACTGGTTTTTAAGGTGGAGTAAACAGCTTGAAGCGAGGACTCATCCCCATCTGAAAGGGAGGAAGCAAGAGACCAGCAGACAGACAAGTGAATGTAAAAGAGCACATCAAAAATACTCACATGGGCACATTAGAAATAAATTGCAATATTGCAGACTAAAACTGTCAGCGAGCCCCCCTTACCTCTTTCCCTCTGTGGTTTTCTGCTGTGGTTTGTCTCTGGGCTCAAATTATCAGCAGCGTCTGCCGAGGCTAAAACAAAACATCACGTATGAGACGCTGAGAGGAGGTAAAAATAATACAGCCACCAGCTCAGCTGTGCAGCATGTCTCAACCCTTACTGGTAACACTTCAACTGCCACTTTCCACACGAGACAACAAAGTGACACCAAACAACTCGTCTTATTATTCTAGTTCACCACTTCATCTCTGAAAATAAGGAGTATACCAAATTTTAGAATGCAATGTGTTCCTAACAGCATGTTAAAGAAAAATATATGTATATATAAATTCCAGTAAACCTTTATTCTTCCTCTGCTTTGTCACAACCACTGCATACGTCACACCATCTGGATCAGATCCATCTCCAGAGACTGAAACATACAACTAAATGTTTATAAAACAGATAGACAGGTACACATGTTAGTGTCTATTATAGTAAATTAAGGTCCTTTTTACATCTATAGCCTTAGTTTTTTGGTCTTTAAGTTAAAAAAGATAATGGCTTGGAGTTTTAGTTTTGAGTTGACACGGAGCAATCACTACAGTTACATGTTGGCTCTCACCTATTTGACCGTCCTCGCCTGACTGGGATTCTGCTGTTGGTGTCTTTGAGGAAAAGCAGAAAACTACTGAGGGATAGAAAGTTTAGGTTAAAGATAGTGTTTTCAAAAACAATGTAGAACATGCTTCAACAATTCTCTGTAGTCTTCCCTGCACATACAACAGATAAGATTCATACTTATGCGCTGTAAAAAATAAGTGCAACAGTGTAACCAGTGTAAAACATGTTAAATTTATAACTATAAAACACAAGCGTATGAAGTAAAGTGTTAGTCAAACATATGAACATGATATCCTCAAAGCTTATTGGTTAAGCAAATGTTTCATATGATATGAAATAATATTTGAATCCATCTTGTGTTTTAAATTATTTTAAACTCGTGGCTCTTTCTGAGAAAATAATTTGATAAACATGATTATAGCTGTAATCACTTTGCCTCACCTTTGCAATGATTCCTAAATTGTTAGAAGAATATAAAAATATGATGGGATGCTCTCTGTTTCATTATGTTGAATGCCACAGTTGCCTACTAGTTTAAGTGTTTCTCTGGCAGTTATTTACATACAGTATACTATGGTGGTAGTTCATTTTCTGTACCTCTGTGTTTCCTAACATGGAGGAATCCCACCAGCAGCAGCACCAGAGCCAATATTAAAATGGTGACAGCAATCCACAGCAGGCTGAAGACACGGGGGGAGTCTGAGTCATCGGGGAGGGTCTCTTCATGAGGGGATGGAACGATGATAGAAATGTTATTTGCTGTAAAAATACAAATGAACGTAATGTTGACGGTCCAGTGTGTAACATTTACACACAACTTCACTTCTAAATACCACTACATTCTACACACAGCTCCTTTAATAAAGTCAGTTTGAGTTATTGCACTGTGGCAGGTGTCGTACAAAATATTAAAACGACTAGGTGTGCCATCATTGTGTATAAGCTGCACCCCTCCTGGCCATAAAACTACTTTGTTGTAACATTTTCATATCTCACCTCCTACAGCCAGCCAGCTTCCCGGTGATTCTCCAACATTAGAGATGCTGCACTTGTAAAGGCCTTCATCCGACTTGGTAACATTCTTAATGGTTATTCCTTCTGCAGGAATGCTCTGCACAAGGACGTCATCTTTGTAGAAAAGAGCTTGGAGGTTGGGGATAGTTGTCCTGTGTCTGCAGTGCAGAGTCACAGTGTTCCCTTCCAAGACCGGAAGAATAGGACTCTCCAATATCACAGAACCAGCTAAACAACATAGTAAAAAAAAATAAATGTTAGTTTTATGTATAAACCAGTAACTCAGACTGTAAACTCAGAATATGAAATTATATGACAAATTATACACAAAGAAATAAAATATCCATGTATAGCAGTGTATCTTCAGCAGAGATATTGTGATATTAACCACATGTTCCTTGATATTTCCCAAGGTAGCATTAAAGGCTGAGAAAAATATGTAAGCTCTGTAAGAAGCTTTCCAAGATTTAAATACCAATGTGTACCCAGTCTCAACCAGACACATAAAATCACGTAAGCACCTTCTCAAGTGGATGTAAAAGTACGAATCTGGCAGCAAAATTGGGATAACGTCTGTTAAATAAAATCTTAATTTTTTTGTATTTACAGGTAAAAAGAAAGGCAACACAGACAAAGCTTCACCCCAAATGTACTACACTTTATCAGTGATTTGTTTGGTTGGATGCAAAATCTCATAGATAGATAATATGCAGTGACTTTAGAAATACAATACACCTACCAGTCACAGTGATGTTTACTCGGTTGCTTCTCTCTTGTCCATCAGTCTCACACCAGTATTCTCCACTGTCTCCTAGATAGGCTCTCTCAATTTTGCAGGACCCCTGGGGCATCATCTTAATGTGACATTTAAAACCTTTAGAACTCCTGATCACGCTCAGTTGAGATGAGCCATCAAACCCCCCACAGTCAAAAGAAACAGAGTCGAATTGAAAATGTTGCAGTCTGTTTGGAGTGATATGAAGAAAATCTGCATCTGAAACAAAGTAAGATATTGTTCTTGATGTTTTTATCTTTTTATTTTTGTTCACTTTATGAATACGTACTGTGTTTACATCTTTTCAGTGAAAAAATCACCAGTTTGTGAAAGGGTGGCCAAAGCTTTGTATAAAACTGTCCATGACAGATGAAAATAAATAAATAATTGACAGTGCTTCTACTTTTTGACAGATTAAATTGGAACTTCTACGTTCTGGTGTTTTCTAGCAACATTGACATTTGAACTGAACCTTTAATAAAATACAGCATTAAAGAAAACTGTAGGCATCAAATTTACATCATAGGGACAAAGATTTTAAAGTTTACAATCAGATAGAGAGAATGATGCAAAAGCATTAGAATTTTATATTTGTCTCTTACCACTTTTCTGATTATAACCGTTCTGAACTTGTGCCCACAGCAGAAACATCACTGGATAAACAAAGGAACAGTTGAAAATCAGACATAAAGGGTTTGATCTAAAGGATTTAAAACTTTGGGAAAAAAGGAGAAAACGTTAGACTCAGTACTCACACAATCTGAAGCAGAGCGCTGTAACTGCCATGCTGTCTTCCTGCTGACTGTCTGAGTATCAGACTGAAATACAACCTGAGTATGTAGACGAGAACTTCCTCTTCCTGTGCAGTTTATTTCGGATGTTGATGCAAAAGCTGAAGCCAGAGTCACAGCGGCTTCAACAAAGTCTGTCAGTCTTTGAGTTATCGACACTCACTCAACAGGGTCAACCACCGCTGTCTCCTCCTGTCAAAGTGTCCTTGGGTCCCAAACCTCAAATTGCTTCGAGTGGTTATTGAGTGCCTTGTATGGCAGCAGTGAAAGTCACTTGCTCACTGACTTCTGCAAGAATCCCAGAGAGTAATTTTTGACCTCGGCCAAAAGCTTCATCCTCGGACAGTCTGCAAACAGAATTCAGATCCTTCGCTCCAACGAAACGGTAGCAATACTTTAATGTGAAAAAATACGCACATTAAATATTATAAGTCAAAATTAAAACTCCAACACACAAAAGTTTACTTAAACTCTGGATGACATTTGAAAAGACATTCTTTATGTAAGCCATATGTGATGCAGTAATGACCTTTTTTGAATTCAATTATTAGTTGAACTGCTGTGATGGCTTGTGGCCACAAGAGGTCTTTGTAGAATCTGAGCACATCGATTAAACTAGTTAGTAGGACAAACTGGAGATTTTATCATCGAACACAAATTGGGAAAATCTGTATTTAATTTACATTATAACTCTCTTAACATCCATGCCTAAGACAGGGAATTTATCATGTGAAACAAAGTGGCAATTCATCCTGACTAACTGAATTCTCATGAAGGGTATGCACTTAATGGCTGCACATGCACATATGATGTAATCTCATCAAAGTAAGCTAAAATAAAATGGGGCAAAGTCTGTCTGATTCAGTCTCTTTATAGAAAGGCCGGATACTGTAAATGTACAAAATAATAACAATATAAAAACATCACATTCTTCCCCAGGAAGGAAAATAACAGACCTACAATGTATAAAGCCCTTTTTTTATGAACTGTTGACACACTTGTGATTGTGATTGCTGCTGTATTATTTTATATCAGTGATTAGTTACCTGGCAACTGGATTAATGTTCAACTGTTTCACTCAAGTGAAACTGAGCATGAAAGCAGGCCCATTCATCATACTGTCTTTATTCATTTATAAATTGCTAACTTTGGCTTTTAATGAGGTTCTGTCATTCATCTGTCTATAGTGACTTTGTTGCTTTTGTTACATACTGAAAACAGCACATGCAAAACACATATAATGGCTATACTTGGAAATGCATGATCTGTTACTACATAATCTGCAAAACAGTGCATGAGCTCTTAGCAATTGATAAACCTTAGTTAAGTTTACACCCTGTCAATGATTTACTCACTTTGTCCATGCAGTCCGAGGAAATGACCGACACACTATGCAGCAGGTACGTCGTCTTCCCAGTTTTTGTTTCAACTAACTTTTATTCTAAAACACAAAATGGCTTTACCGACAATAAAAGTGCGTCTGCATTCATAGTTGTGTGCTTTGGAGTAATAGTATGATATAATGATTTTGGTTTATATCAACCTTTAATTTTCTTGAGTAGTTGAACGGGAAAGTTGTTAGTTTTGACACCCTAATGTGTATCCTTTTTTATAGGAGTCATTGGACTTTGTATCATAGAAAAGACTTGAATGAAGGCTAAAATAGGATATATATAAGTCTGGCAAAATCCATCTTTGCCATGTTGGCAGGAAAAATACTACTACAGTATTAAATGAATGAACTTTTAATCAGTAGTAACGAAGTACTGTGTACTGCCAGTCAAGGTGTTTTCACATGTGTAGAACTGTTATAGTATATTTGTCCTTACAATGTATCACTGGTCTTTGTTCATTTTCAGAACTTTAAGATGATTCCCCAGACAACTGGACTTCATTTTCCTCTCAAAACTCTCCGAGTTTTGATTTTCCATCTTCTCTTTACACACTTTTGTAAAGGTAACTTACACACAAACGCAAGATCAGAGTCAGGCCTGTGTTAAACATAATTACAACATTATATCAGAGACTGCTGTTTAGGGTTCTAGGACAAAAATAATATAACTGGTTGAAGCACAAAAGGCAGGGCAAGAAAATGAAAAAATCATATGGAGGTGATTGATTTTTGGTTGTGGATGTACAAAGCGTCTTGGAGATTTTTTATTACAAATAAACAGAAGCTTAAACTTAACTAGCTTTCCCTTTAAAAAGAAGGAGATGCTGATCTCTCCTCTCGTGTTTGATTTCAAGAGTAAAACCTTTTACCAGCAGGGCCCAATGCATCAATCACTGCTTTTGGTTGTACATCTGGGCCACGAAAAACCCTCTGGGTGTGGTCAGTGTACATGGTAACTGGTGATGGACTTGAGCCAGCATACACCTTGAAGTGCTGCAGGGCGAGTTGCATAGCAAAAAACATGAGAAAATAGGATCTAGGTTGACAAATAGCACAATTTCCCTTTAAAATGTGTTTTAAAAGATAAAGTAAAGGAATAAATGCAGAAATATATAACTATAACTAAATATGTATTTATTTTCCAGGTCAGTCTCATGTAATTGGTCCATCTCAGCCAATAGTGGCAAAAGTTGGTGATGACATAACCTTGCCATGTCACCTCGAACCTGCAGTGGATGCTGTCGCCATGACGCTGGAGTGGATGAGATCTGACCTGAATTCTATATTTGTCTATGTGTGGCGTGATGGTCAGGACCTTGTACACACGAAACATCCATCCTACAAGGAACGAACATCACTGTCCATCGATGAACTGAAGCACGGAAACATTTCACTGAAGCTCACTGATGTGAAACTTTCTGATGAGGGGAGATACCAATGCTACATTCCCAAACTGAATATACAATCCTTTGTTGATCTTGTGGTTGGTGAGTAGACACATACTGTATCTGCATAGTACAGTTTGGTGTAGACTCTACATCTATTGATGAATTTTGGTGGATCAACACTATGAAGTAAAAAAATACAACCACAGTAATCATCCATGTAAATGAGGGTTAAATGCTTTTTTTATGTTTTTTATAAGAACAGCTGGGAAGACTCAATTGGTTCATGCACTATATATAATATCTAAAAGAGTTTAACAAACACATTATCTGATATGCAGTATACAATGATAATGCTGGTATACATTTGTTTGGTGTTAGGTGTTTTATTGAAAATATGCGAACACAGCCAAACACAGGGAAATAAAAATTTCAACAAACATTCTTGCATAGTTATGTTTTATATAATACATTGAACAAAAAAAAAAACGAATTACATGTGCAAACGTTTGGGCAACCTAAGATTCTTTTTACAAAGTTTCAGACCTTCATCAGCTCATTGGGCCTGACACGTGTAAACATTTGGAAATAGGAAACGTCAGCTGGTGCCAATGTCAAACCTTGTGCAAACACTCAGCAACCATGGGCTCCTCTTAGCAGCTGTGTAAGACTCTGAAAAGGAAAGTTATTGATGTCCAAAATGCAGGAGAAGGCTACAAGAAGATAGCAAAGTGTTGTCAGCTTGCAGTTTCCACAGTGTGAAATGTAATTAAGAGTCAGCATTAGATCTGGAAATCTGAAACTAGTTGTATGCTGGTCAAAAAATCTAATAAGAACCTCCATGTGAATGCAAAAAACCCGGCACAGGTACAGGAAACATTGCATGTGGAGGGAAACTAAGATTACCAAATTCTTGAAGCAAGTGTCACATCATCTCTAAAAAAGCTGAAGCTGAATAGAGGATGGCTTCCACAGCAGGATAATGATCTTTAATGTACCTCGAAATTCACCATTGACTCAAAATATTATATTTTATGCTGCATCCTCTCGAGAGGCAGTATTTACATCTTTTAAAAGACTAATTACCATATTGTGTAATTTTTCAAGGGATGTCTAAACCTTTGCACGCAACTGTATGTGAACCTTTGTCTTAAAGCAGCTCCATTGTCAGTTCAGAAACCAAATTCATTTATTGGCCATATAGGAACATGGTTACAAGTACAAGGCTGATATGCAGGCTTGAAACAGCAAACTGAGGTTTTAAGAAACAAAGTGGTAAACAAAAAATATTTTAGAAGGCAATGCTAATGCAGGTATCACCAGCTTTACACTTATATATACATTTACATCTGTGCATATTATTTAATGATTAATGGGTGATTGTATTAATGACCATTGTTTATTTTTATTGTTTTCATTTTGCTCAGCATCAAGCACTCTTTCCTCGCCTAACATAGTGGGTATTGACAGAACCATCAGTGGAGTGAGTTTACAGTGTGAGTCTAAAGGCTGGCACCCAAAGCCTGAGGTGGTCTGGCTGGACGGTGAGGGAAACCTCCTCTCTGCTGGACCTACAGAGACAGTCAGAGGTCCTGATGACCTCTATACTGTCAGCAGCAGAGTGACTGTGGAGAAGAGACACAGCAACAACTTCACCTGTAGAGTCCAACAGAAGGACATCAACCAGACCAGAGAGACACACATTCAAATCTCGAGTAATAATAATTTTATTTATTTATTTTTTTTATGACAAGATCACGTTTTAGTTTAAAATAGCTGTAATCTAGTTTCATGTATGTAAGTATCATGACTGTTTTATCATTTCAGATGATTTGTTTGAGGTTCAACCCAGTTCTTCCCCGATCACAGTTGGTTTGGCTGTTAGTTTGGCTGTTTGCATCGTGTTTAGTCTGTTTGTTGTCCTTTTTCTATGGAGACAAAACATCAGTAAGTCACAAATTAATTTGCACTGCTTTGTATAGTGTATACAGTGATATTAATTGTGTAATTGTTTAAATTCATTTATTTTGATCATAAACACAAGTTATGGTGTTGATAAAAATGGTGGTTTACTACTT